TTGCATCTCAATGTCAAGAAAACAAAAATCCTCACCACTGGACCAATAAACAACATTCTTATCAACGGAGAAAAGATTGAAGTTGTCAAGGACTTTATTCTTCTTGGATCAAATATCAACACGCCTGTCAGCAGCAGTCAAGAAATCAAACGGCAAATCTGGTGGTGCATAAGACCTTTTTAAAGTGTTCAGGAACAAAGATAGATGTCAGCTTGAGGACTAAGGTGCGCCTGACCCAAGCCATGGTATTTTCAATAACCTCATATACATGCAAAAGTTAAGACAGTGAATAAGACCGTAGAAAAAAAAAATCGATGCTTCTGAGTTATGGTGTTGAAGAATATTGAAAGTGTCATGGGCTGCCCATAGAACTAACAGATCTGTGTTTGAAGAAGTGCAACTAGAGTGGCTCCTTTGAGGCCAAGATGGCCAAACCTTCGTCTCTCATACTTCACACTGTCAGGAAGGACCAATTGCTGGAGAAGGACATCATGTTTGGTAAGGTGGAGGGTCAGAGAAAGAGGAAGACTCCCATCGAAATCGACTGGCCAAGTGGCAGCACAGGGTATAGTCAGCAGTACGCTGTAATATAGTGGGACTTATTTACTTGGTGCCTATGAAAGGAGAAAACCTAGCAATGAAAGGTGGCTAAATGTTTTTATAACCATGGCCATCATTTCATAGAGAACCTGTATAGAGAACCACATTAGGTAAGGATGGCAATGCATGGTACAAAGCATAGAAAGGTGAGCCTTTGTCATTTTACCTTAAACACACTTTATATATCCATACATAAGCAAATGTTGCTTGCTTGTAACTTCAGGTCTGATATTTTAAGTTTGCTTGAGTCAGTTCCAATTACAGCTATTCCTGTATAGCTTTTCCAAGGAGTTGTGGCTGGTGTATTTTATTCCCAACCTGTGTTTATACAGTCTAATGCTTATTTTACAATGCCATACAAGGACACTATATAGATGGTTGTGGAATTAAATACATTTTGGGGAGTATTCAATTTATTAAAAAAAAAAAAAAAAGGTAAACTGTATTCAGGGACTAAGCTATAAAGTGGGGAAGTTATAAGAACTTAAATATAATCTATTCAAGTTAAAAAAAAAGAAAAAGAAAAAGGAAAGAAAACCCCCAGAATAGACCAAATATTTCTTTTGTAAACTGAAGAGTTGCACCAGCAAATTGTCTCTTTTCATTTGAGTTTATTTAAACACAGTTCTCAAGGCATGAATGAAATTGGGCTTCCTTTATGGTAAGCAAAGGACCTGAAAAGAATTTTAAAGTCAACAGGCAAAGTCTTCAGCTTACCTATGACACAAGTATAATAGTGTTCCCTTCTTGTTTCCTGTACTTTGAAGCACCCAGTTCTTTTTCACATAGCTAAAAGCTAGAATAAGAGTACATTTGTGGTGGAATGTATAATAACTTGCCGATGTAACTAGTTGAAATACTATTATCCCCTTGTAACAACTTGAAGAAATAGCCTTTTTTACATTGTGTAACTCTTCTCTTATTCTCCGCTATATAATACAGATTACACAAAGGCGGACAAATCCACAATTAGATAAGCATTCAGCATTTGCTGTATTGAAATACCTTTAGTTCTAAGACTAGAAGTACAGAGTTACAGAGCATTAATTTAACACTTAGTTGTGTATGTAAATATGGTACTTTTAATGAACTTGAAGAAAATAAGTATTTTTGTTTTAAATTTACTACTGACAACTGAATTGGAACAGTTCTGCTAAGCATTGATATGTTAGAAAGAAAAGTAAAAATCAAACTGTTTATTGTTAACTTTTTTGCCATTTGGTAGCATTTTACACACAGGCTTTGATCTTCAGAATACCCTGGATTCAGTAGAAAAACCTTTAAATGAAGTTTTGTACAATAAAAACTTCTCGGCAGTCAAAATTTAGACTGTAAAAAAATACATGCAAAACATACTTTTCTGAAAACACTTAACTTTGAACAAAGCACCAAACTACACAAATGCAGAATGAAAACAGCATTTTAACGCCACCAAAGTAGTCATCATCAAAGGTGTAAAAGTCACCTCACTTCACTAGGCACTGTTCACTTTTTTAAACATGAGACAATAAAAAATATTGTCCATAATCAATATCCCAACTCTAGGGCATGTTTCAGAAAGTCTTCAAACTTCATGCTTTAATAGCGACCTAGAAAATAAAATATTAAACATACTTTAATTCTGAGAAATAACTGTTAGTGCTTTTTAATATTGAAGATTATAGCTTATTTTGCTATATTCATTTGGAGAGAATATGGATGCAGTAAGGAAACTGGTAAAATCCAGTTTAGTGGATTAACTAGGCTTTCTAACAAAATTAGCAATCTTGTAGAGTTAATGATGTACACCTAGGTGATAGTCAACATACTTGTCTACCAAAATATATTCGTTTTAAAGTCTAGCCAGAGGTGCCTTGGAATAAAGACACAAAAGATTTATTTGCTTACGTTGTGGTTGTGTCTTAATAGATAGCAAGGTATTAACCTACATTATCAAAGATTATCAAAAGAATAACATTAAAAACTTACGAGGAGAGTAGGATCGAGATCTGGAACGGGATCTGTATCCTCCACGACTATAGTAAGGAGAAGGTGACCGCCTTCTGTGAACAAATGTCAAGACTGTCTAAGTCATCAGAGATCAGAATGAATAAACCTAACATTCCTAATTTTTAAGTCATGGGGTTTTTCAAGGTCTATTAAAGTTCTGAGAATGAAGTGTATTATCAGGCCTCATACCAAATTCTACAAGGCACAAGTATTTATTATTTGGTACATTAAAAAGCCACTATTCTTTTGATTTGTACACTTTTTTAAAAAATTCAATTAACATCTTTTCTAACTACACCTGTGTAGTGACTAATAATAAATACAACAAATTTTACTCGCCAAATTCCCATTGTATCTCATTATGGTATGAAACAGCAAAAGTCCAATTATATTTCCTAAACACATGCAAACACTGTCACCTGTGCTAAGTATTTTATGAACTTCACAAAATCTAATTTTGTTTGATATTGCTTACATGTAATTTAACTACCAAAATAAGATGAATCCTATAATTTAAATACTCTTGGCCTACCTGTAAATCTGATCTCTATCTTGAGCAGCTCTCCATCCTCCTCCTCCTCCACCTCCTCCTCTGTTAGGGAAGAAAGGCAATGTACTGTTCAGTTTTGTGAATTCTGCAAACACTATAGAATTCATACAGTTTAAACAGAAGATCTCACACATGATAAGAAATGAGTGAAGCGGCAGTCATTTTCTGCTACCCTTTTAAAACCTTGGTTACAGCTCTCTCTAGTGGTTAAAGTGAGTATCACCAGTATCAACATTTTTAAGTAAATGCTGTTGTGGTAAGCCAAGGAGTCATTTTGAACTTAAAGGCAACAATCCTGGCATTGGGTGTCTGAGGCAATAAATATTTATGGGAACAGAAAGCCTCATCTTTCTCCCGCAGAGCAGCTGGTAGTTTCAAACCGCTGACCTTTCAAGGTTCGCAGCCCGATTCGTAACCACTACGCTACCAGAAGCTCCTTGGAGGACTTTAAAAATAAACATCAATGATCGGTCGTCCCTCTAAAACTTTATATCTGTATTGTCTGTTACTTATCAAAAACATTGCAAATTGGAAAAAAAAAAAAAAAACTTCTGACTTTTACAAGCATGAAGTACATTTAACTAATTACTTGTATAACTTTTAACAGTGGAAATACATGTAGTGAGTTAAACTAGTTTTAGTGTTTTAAGTAACAATACTTCTTTAAGCACAACTTGGACTCAGGAAAGTTATGTCATTTAAATCCCAGAGTATGGGTTTTACCTGTATGATCTGCTGTAGTAATCCCGATCATCATAGCCACGATCATATCCTCTGTCATAGTAATCACGACGGCGTGAGCTGCCACTATGAATAGCAATGTATCTTTTTAAAATATCAAGCAGGATCTCCCATATTTTCCACCTATCTTTCCTGCTTACACACTTACCATTTTACTAACATCACTAGTGGAAAGTCATAACATAGCTTTAGTCTGCATGATGTCATACAAAAACACAACCAAGTTCTGTGGATATTGTTTTAAGTCTCACTGAGTTGGTTCTAACTCATGTGACTCCACATCTCTGGAGTCTTGGTGTGGCTAAATGTGCTGTACTGCAATGTTGCTTTGAACTCCAAAGCAGGTGGTTCAAAATAATCAGTTGCTCCTTGAAAACCATATCACTATCAATCGGAAGTGACTCGATGACACTTAACTTCAAGAGGGTTTCTAAGCAGATACTTATTGGTGGGTTTGAATTGCCCATTCCGCATTCACACCAGGAAATTGCTACAAGTATAATCTTTTTATTCCCTTCTATAGGGAAAAAAAAATGAAACTACTGACTAATAGCACACATTGTCTAGTAATCTCTTCCTAGATATTGAACATAGCTTTCTCCCCACTGTTATGTTACTTACACAGTATATAGATTGTTAAGTCAGTGTGTGACTTCTGACTTGCTTACACTTCTATTAATTTGCTAACCCAGTAATTTTTTATTTACAGAAAAGTGACAAATTATGTGGAGACTGCTCTATTTGAGGAATGAGAAAATGGTCACCATGTTAAAGACAGCAGTGCAATCACACATAATTACATTGCCCTTATATAAGAACATTTTATTTAAATTTAAAATTACTCCCAATTTTTAACTATAAGCAGTATTGATGATGCAAAGAGAAAACTAAGAAATGCAATTCAATAGGATTTATATATTGCTGAAGAGTTTCTCTATTTTGGGAAAAATATCCAAATCAGGTTAATTCCCTAGTAAAACTAAATATATGGCATTTTTTTAATGATAAACAGGTATTATCTACACTAATGTTATCCCAAATTTTGTGATAGAAACAAATTACATTTATACTCTGGTGGTGGGGGGGTTCAACAAAGTGTCAAAGAGTTCCCCATTATAGGTATGCCTTTGGAGAAGTTTTATGTTGAAAATAAACTTACTAGGTAGGTCTTCCCATATAAATTCCAGGTGTTGGAGTATGTGGTCTTTTTGTTATGGAGAAATCGACTCTGATCCTACGACCATCAAGCTCCATTCCATTGGCACGCTCTTTAGCCTTGATAAAAAAGCATTCGACTGTTATATACATCATTGAAAAGGCCACAATTATCTACTAATAATGATACAACTGGATGTTTCAGTTAACCATGCTATCTACTCATTTTAGAGCTGCCCAGAACATGAGGGTCTACAATTTACATATACATTATTTCTCTACTAAATGATCATTTGGAGAAACTAGGCATACTCATTTACATGTTGACTTCAGTAAAAACAAATAGTTCCTGATTGAGACCATATGGATAAAAAAGTTTAAATTAAAGAAAGCTCCATCATCCAGAATAGATGAATAAAACAGAATACAATTAACAAGAATTAGTCTATTCCAAAGACACGAGCTTTTGATAATCAATGAAGGGGGGGTAATAGGATCATAATAGCATTCATTACCACTTCAATATCAATTTAAAGAATACATTTCCTTTATAGTTGCATTTATTCTTAATTATACTATAAAAACAAAACCTGCCCTTATGGGGTTTCTAATCTTGTAGTAAGCAGTTCAATGCTTATCCCACACCAAATAAATGGTCATTAATACTTAGAATTAATAAGAGAACTGTTGGTTTATATAAAGTATACTTTTACTTACTTCCTTAGCATCATCTACATTTTCAAAATATACAAAGGCAAATCCTCTTGAACGTCTAGACTGCTGATCATATACAATGGACACATCAGCAATGGGGCCATACTTGGAGAACACTTCTCTTAAATCTCGCTCTGTGGTGTATAAGCTCAATCCAAACACTCCAAGACAACAGTTGGGATCAGGATTTGCCTAAAAGCAAATGATTATACAATGTAAGGACAATACCATTGCCTAAATCACCTCCGTACATTTGTTTGTTCTTCTTCCAGAAACTGTATGCATGCAACTTTGTATGCATAGATAAACAACTTTAGTGTTTATCTATGCATACAAAAGACTAAGAGTAGGTATACCAAACCAAACCACATTAATCATTTATTAACCCGTTTGCAGAATCCTAGTGGTAAAATAGTTAAGTGTTTGGGACAAAAGACCTGGTGATCAGCCTGAAAAATCCTATGGGTGCCGGTATTTAGAGAACTTCTACTCCATTAAAACAATTAAAAGCAGCAGCCCCTGACAAAAATCTCACAGCTGAAGTCACTATATATACATCCCATGGAATATAAACCGTATTTAAAAGCAACACAAAGTGTTTTTTTTGCCCAAGGGGGAAAAGTTAAAGCAGGAACATCCTATAAAGAATTTTAATGACACTATTGATCTTAATAAAGAAAAAATTCCACAACTATTTGACTACCCAGAACTTCAACTTACCCGATTCCCAACATGACGCCTGCGAGTAGACATCGGAGAATGACTGTGGCTATGCCGTCTGCGATAATCCCGACTATAAGACCTGCTACGGGATCGTCTATGGGAGCGTGACCGAGAACGTGATCTTGTGTAATGTCTTCGAGAACTTCTTCTGGATCTAGACCTGTAAGACAAAGTCTTCAAGGTTACAACCATAAAAACGACAATGTTAATACTCTTTAGTCAAATCTCCAAATGAGCTATGACTATACTCCAGGCATATACTGACATGAATGATACCAAGTAGCTAGGATCAAGAGCTTTCTTCTCTAAATTATCCAGTCACTTCAACTCTGCTAGGTAAAGTTCACAAGCCACAAATTCACTTCAACAATTGAAATAACACAGATAAAGGGAGAAAAACAGAATCAATTCAGTACCTTTTGATAATAACACATGCAACATTTTACTAGCCTAATCTATGCCCATCTTTCAATCTCCATTTTTCTGTTTCTCCTAATAACGTCCACCATCCACTTACAACAAAGTAATAAAAGCTCCATAAGCAGTTAAAAAAACAAAAACACCCAAAAAAGAACACCAATGAATGGCTCCGTAACTAACACAACCATACACATAACTTGTCATATTAACCAAGACAGGCTTCAGAGAGCTGTTCCTAACACTTGAGCCACAGGAATAAACTGGAAATGTCCCGGGCAAACTAGATGTATATAAACCTATTAATCAACAAAAAATAAAAAGAGAGAAAAGTATAAAGAATGCACTGTTTCATTTTATACACAACGTGTATGCAATATGCTAGACTATATCGGCTATAACCAGAAACTGAAGCAATGAAAGCCACTGTTGTTCTACAGTATAGTTGCCATGCTAAACAGTTTAATCTCAGAGTGAATCCTCTCAAATGCAAAGAAATAGTACTATTGCTAAACTTGCCTTTTAAAGATAAAGAAACTTTTAAGTTGAAAAGGTTTAGTAATCTGCCCAAGACAGCAAAAATAGAGGTAAGAGGTGAACCCTAACGCCAAAGCAAAGGCTCTTAAACACTCAATTAGTCTGCCTCCCAGAACAATTAAGTTTATTTCTAGTTACCAGTATTAAAAAAGGCCAACAAATAATCTAGTCCTCTCTATCTTCCTGGTTTACAAAGCACACAACAATTTCACAGCTAAGAGTAACAGAAGAAAATGCCAAGACAGTCTTTCTTACCTAGATTCAGATCTGGACCTGGACTTTGATCTGGAACGCCTGGAATCTTCCTTGGAGCGAGACCTTGCAGGGGTATGCCTTGCAGATTTCCCAGATCCATGAGCACTTCCACTTCTGGAAGCAGAACGGGATTCCTACACGCAGATTTCAAAAGTTTAATTTGAATACTTTCTGGGCATCTTTAAAAACAAATTAAGCTGCTGTGAGAAATGGTGAGGGAAGCAATCCCCTTCCAAGATAAGAAAACATAGGTAAGGGCAGCAACTGAGTTATACCTGGTTATTATAGTCATTGCTCCAACTGAAAATTAGGTCAATTAATTCGTCCTTTCTTCCACCTTTTGGGGAGCAGTTGTTAAGAATTATCTGACCCCACTCCCTTCAAAAAAGGGGTGCAAAAGCCAAGCAGGTAAGGGGTACTGTCCAAAGATTGATTTGGGATTGTTATTTCATAAAGACTAGGTTGAGAAAGAACCTTATTAACTATTATACCTATACTTTATAACTAATATGCCTATTTCAAACAGGTTGCCATTTACAAAACTTACTTTTTAAACGACTGAGATTTTTTCGTTAAGACCTCAACTTTAAAAAGTTATATTTAATAGTTGATGAGAAAAGAAACAAGGATCACCTCAATTTCAAACCCTATAGATAAAAACCTAGTTGAAAGCAAGGATCAGCTCTATCCATCTAACCATGACCATGGTCCCTTAAAAAACTCAAAACCACCAGCTGGAGTTCAAAAGCATAAATATAATGTACTGTACAGATAAGCAGAGCACACCAGATATCCACAGCTCAAAGACACATTGAAACCACAGTAGATTAGGGACTCCTAATTTAGAGACCTGGATCTGGAATATATACTATATAATTACCAATCAAGACAGACTACGTTACAGGTAACAGGGCACAAAATTGAAGATCTCAAAAGTAAATGGCAAAGAAATAGCTAAAGAGGATAACTAGTCCATCCATGAACCAAAGAGAAGTTCTTCCAAGGTAAGCGAAGGAGAGAGAATTAGAACCTATGCACAACTACCTGAAGTATCAAATGCCAGATAGTCTTTACTCCAGGGTCACTCAATTTAGGAAAGATTAAAAGCATACGTAAATCTAATCAGTCTTTCCATCCAAGGTAAAGCAGCGAGTCACAGTCACTGTAGGGTTATGAACCAAAGTTGAAACAGATGGGGAGAAAAAGTTGATATTCAGAATATTCTGGCCATTCTCACTAAAATAAAATATACAAACAAACAAGGCTTTTAAACTACAGCACCCCACAGTTTACAACACAATGAGAAAATGCTTGGGAAACTTAATGTTTAGAAAAAAATATACATGAACAGGTTAAGGAGGCAAAATTTCAAGTATATAAAAAGGGGAAAGCTTAAAAAGACATTAATTCATGTCTGTAGAACCAAAATAATTCTAACATATTCAAGCAGATTTCAAAGAGAAGGAAAAGGTGTCCATTCGTAGTGAAAATAACTGCCTGCAACTCCAATAAAGGAGTGGTTTTAATAAGTTTTGCTGCTCTGAGAGTAAGTCCCTAAAATTCTCCAGCAGACATTCTCCTAGTTTCTAACACACCATAGTCACCACAGGTAAAATCTTATCTGAAAGAAAAGCTAGAAATGAGGAACACAAGTGTCAAAGTATCTTTGCTTATTCCAGTACTAGAAACACAATCTCACAAGAGAGTATAATTACCTTAAAAAGAAATGTATTCAAGGAAAACCACAAGGGTGCTAGAAAAATGCCACATTAAATAATTTAACAGAAATCACTGAAAGCCGACAGATAAAAATAGAAAAATTTAAACCTCTTGCTTCATTGACATAAGTCTTATTCCAAGCTAAGCTGCTTCACTCAGTAAATCTGTCCAAAAACAGTAAGAGACAATACACTTTTGTTTCCTCAAGAAACTTTAGCAAACCAAGGGTCAAAGATACTGACTGCAGTATATATAATGAAATTGTTGCCCTAAAACTAGCTTCTCAAACTGATTACGTAGACCTATTTTGGTACCAATAATTTCTAAAGAGCAGGAGCCAATAGGGAAAAATGCTAGGCTAACACTTAAACAAAGCTGCTCCCATTTATTTCCACATCAATATTCTAAAAGAAGGAAAGCCCACTTTAGTTATGTTAATCTTTAGCTGGCTGAGCAGATAAAAATATATGCAAAGATCATCCTGCCTAGAAGAAACATGACCTAAGAATACTATAAGGCAATCTAAAAGCATAAAGAATGTTAACTTCAATCCAGGAAGTACTATATAATAACTATATACATAATTCAAAGTTCATTCTTGGGAACACCATGTCTCAAGGAAAGGTTTCACATCACAAATTTAAGCTAGCATAAATAAAGCCCAAAATTCTAATTTTGCTCAGAAAATGTTTCTGCTGCTTAATTACAGAAATTACATGCTTCTTAAAAGTTTTTTTTTTTTCTTTTCAAAGGTTAACTCCATGTCACCTTGTTTCTCAAATTTCCTCCTTACTCTCCATTATCAGCCCTGCCCAAGCACCAGAGACTGGCTCAGGGTAAGAGTCTCAAATGCAAAGATATTTTTGGCTGAGGGGGTGGGTTGGTCCACTTGGCACCAACAGTTTTTTGTGTGTTTTGTTTTTTTTTTTAAACTTTTAAGTCTCATGCGCAACCAAGGTCAGCTCTTAAACTGCTTTCATTTCCTCAGGGTAATAAAATAGACCTTTTCCCACTTGGGGCACCCAAGGACCATTCAGCATCCTTATTTTAAAAACCACAGGACAAATCCATTTACATCACTTTTCAATTCAGTATAAGTAATTCAGAATGCATGCAAAGTTAACTATTGCCACCTCTGGAGTAACTGTGATACCTCATAGTTGTGCTCAACTTGAAGACCTGGAATCATATGTGAGTGGCCCGCTTAGCTAATAACAAGTCAGTCTAGTATGATAGCAGCCTCAATTAACAAAAGAATTTTTACAAAGCAAATACTGGGAACTGTCTCCTTGTGAGGATCTTTCTTTCTGCTTGTAAGATAGTCAAATCATGATAAAAAGCACAAGTTTCACAGAGCAAATAAACCTAAACGTCAGACCATTTAGAGAATGTTCTTTTAAAAAAAGAACTTTAAGACCTGACAACTCTCTTGGGCTTTCTTAATAGGGCCAAAGACAATTGTTGGTTGGGTAAACTAGATTACTGATGTGTTTAGTGGTTCATGCTCACCAGCTGCTCCTCAAAAACCCTATACAGGGTTCGTTATGGGTCAGAATTGACTTGATGGCACTTAACAACTTGTCCTATACAAATGAAGTTAACATTACAATCATTCACACTCCTATTCAGCTTAAAAAAATAACTCTTCTCAAACAAAAACAAACCAAACTACCCAAAGAAAAGAAAAGCACAAAAGAGAAAAAGGAACTTTTGTGTTATACCCACGCCATAAAGTGGTTGGAAGATGGGAGGCAGAAAAGTACTGTACTTCATCAAATTATTAGAATTGTTGAGTGCTAGCAGAAAGAGTTAAGCTAAAGCATTTGCTACTCTGTCATTTGAAACTAGATATCCTGTTCACCTGTGAGACCCATCTTGCCTTTTAAAGGAAGCTATGTTTTAGTAGTCACTCTACTCACACTCAACTGAAAAAGCCATTAAATAGAAATGATTGGACAACTAAAGGCTTTACTTGGATGTTGGGGTTTGCCTCTACAGTCATCCTGGTGTTACCCTTTTTAAAAACTGAGAGCATCTACCATTTATTAATGAAGAGGTTGGTGGTATCAATGCATTATAAGAAATCAGGAAGGTAGCATAAACCACCAGGTTGCAATGTTGGATAAAAGGTAGTGAACTCATGTCCCAACACCAGAAAGAGAGAGAGAGCAAACTCTAGGATAATACCACTAATCCAATTGTCAGCCATGTTGGAGGGGGCTCATTCCTGCCTAGCATTTGACTACAAAGGATTACTTTGAAAAATTACATTTCAATCATTTGACTAAGCAGTTAAAAATTAGAATTACCTAATTTAAACGTTTCCCCTGGAAGGCACTTCTTAACCCTGTATATACTGTCTTCTATTAAACAAATAATGCATGCATGTTTAGCAAAATATACAGGGACACATAAACAGACTAGTAATTACTTAGCGTAGTGCTTTCTGATTCCCGATTACTTCTTATCTTAACTTCATTTTTATTTCTTTTCTTCATTCTTCCGTTTCAAATTCTGACTTCTTTCATCTTCCCCACTTCACACAAATTGCTCAATATTCTACAAGTGGGACTTCTGGTCTGATAATTAGCATGCATTCTTTCTTTTATTTTTTCAAATTTCAGCTTCACTTATTCCTGAGCTTCAAATACTCATTTATAAAACTTGTCAAATGACGACTTCCGCATTTTCCTTCTTCAACATTAACCTTAATAGAAAAAGAACAGGATGAAGAATATTTTAAAACTCCAGGATAAAATCCAGTGCCAAAACTGAAACTAGAAAAAAAAAAAAAATCCCCTTTGTTTTGGGTTAAAAAAAAAACAAAACAAAAAACTAGAATATGCGGCTCGAAAAACTGAAACTAGTTTTCTGTTTGTTCCAGAATATAAATATTATCATTTGTCAACTCCAACTAGATTTATCATGCGTAATGTGAAGTGTTCAAGTGAACATTTACTGTTCATTTAACATTTTAAGAACATTTACTGTTCATTTAACATTTTAAGAAAGTTACATTTCACACTTCTTAGTCATCAATAGAAAATATTTAAGTGTCAAAAGCACATCTCTAGTCCAAGTGACACAATACAAAAGTGCAAAAAAGGACCATTTATTTTATAAACAATGATGACAAAGGCTCAGGGTTGATATTTTACACTATTGTGACTAGGGCCAGGAATGCATGTAATGTCACAGTTTTGCACTGTATATTATTTAAGGATTCTGTGGGAATATCAGGGACATAAAATCTGAAACATACGTGTTCAACTCACCCATAGAAAGCTGCCCTAAGATTTTATAGCAGGAATGACCCAACCATGAAAAAATTTAGAGCATTTTAATATTGGGGGAGGGGGGAAGGGAGGGAGATCAAGTTTACCACTGTTAATTGTGATTAGCTATGAAGAAAAGCAGAATGAACTTGAAAACAACAGTGGATATTTTCCAATACTGTTGCTGTAATACCCCCACAAATGATAACTAAAAAAAGGCTTCTGGTTTACCAAAAAGTCTCCTACTTCAAAAAGTGGCAATATTGGGGAAAAAAAGTATTGCTCACCTAACTTAATTACTGAAAGCTTCAATGCCAACTTAACAGATCAATACAGTATAAGTGTATGCTAAATAAACTAATGCTTTCCTAAAACAACTTATTTTTCTTGTGATCCCTTATTTATCTCAAAAATTTAATTTGATTGTATATGTCAATGATTTGCTCACTAGCTTTATTCTTTTGTTGGTGGAGGGGGGAACCCCAACCCTCTCTTTATGCTATCAAAAAAAAACTTTGAGATAAGTCTTTATACCTATGTTATATACAAAGACAACCACATTTTCCACCATGGGAAATGCGATGTCGTATCTAAACATAACTTTTAATCTAGTTTATACATTGTTTTATTTCAATTTATTTAATCCAGGAAAAAAACTGAAATAGCTTTTTACTCATAAAGGAGCAATAGTAATTGCTTTTCTTTAAACATCCATTACTAAAATGTAATGAATGGGAAATGTTCCCTGGCAGCACAAATGTAATCGTGGAATCAGAATGCCCAAGCAGATTTCCTCTCAGGGCGTCCTAAACAGTATGCATAGATTAAAGGGAATAGTTGCATAAAACTAAATAACTGGAATGGAGATTAAACTTTCGAAAGATAACATTTCGTTACTGACCCTTTCCTGTTATTTTTACCCCATTCTTATACACCTTCCTTCTCACATATTCTGAGAACAAAACACACTATTGACACTATATAAAGCTTATGTCAAACTTCAGCTACTAACATCAAGTGGCCTCTCTATAAAACCAGGTATTGGGCCAATTTCATTATGCACATTTTGTCAAGAATCATACTTGGAAACAAACTCATACAGTCACTGAAACTTTTGTTAAAACGATTCTAGGGTCTAAAAAGAGAATCTACATACAGGAGGGCTTAAAAAAAAAAAAGTCTGTTTCAAACAGAATTAAATGATAACGGAATTTGGCCAGAAACTTTTGAAGCCACGTAATATTTGACATTAAATAAGTTAAAATTACAATCGCAAAAGCCAGTTTAGAATTAAAGGATCAAACAAGAAAACCTCTTGATCCAGCATTACAAAAGTCAATGCAAATACTAATTCTTTCAGCAGCCAAGCTATCCACACCATTAGGTAGGACTAATAGAAAAATCCCCCAAACTGAGCATATTATTCTATTAAAACACACCCAACTTCCAAGTCAGCCCGTGCTTAAGATCCCTTGCAAAAAAGAGCAAACTCTTACATTTACAGTCATAAAACATCCAGCACTTCCTAGCAATCACCCCCCAGAATGAACACACTAATAATACAGCTAAACACAAAAAAGGGGTTGTCACCCAAACTTTCACTTATGCCATAATCCATTGAATATTGAAAAGTCTGAAAATAACCTCCAAACAAAAATTGGAGCCAATTTGAATAGTTAAAAATGGATTTGCTATATAGAAAGCTTTTTGGGGGTATAGAGCTTAAAAAACAAGACTAAGTGACAGCAACACATAACTAAGTGAACCAGCTGTCAAACCCTAAGCTGATCAAAACACCTGAAAACTAATCATCACTATACTTTTAAAGAATATACACTATTATGTATTCTTTGAAAAGTGAAGAATTCAATTGTGAAAAATGTTTGTAGGGAAAGTGAAAAAGGGCTTTACAAATCTGAATTCCCTTCAATCTTTTGACAAATCCAGTAGTACTTACCTTGTAATCACACGTCTAATTTCAGTTTGAAACCACCTTTTATTTCCAGACAATGTCAGCATTTATGATCAAAACAACATTTCAACCTCGTTTCTCAGACTAGACTACTCACACAGCTAACTGGATTCACAGCAAATCAAAACAATTAAAAAAAATGTTTCCCACTATATTATTCAGTGAAAGAATTCGTTTGAGATGGCAACATGTTTCAATATTGAAATTAGAATTTAAGAGTGTTGAGGTTAAAAACAAGGAACACAAAAATTCAACCCAAAATTGAACTGAAGAGGAGTAATTGCGAAGGCAGTTTGATGGGATGGTAGTTATCCAGATGCTATGCATGAGACTAGAATTTGAGACATGTACCAAAATGCTAAACACACTGCTTTAACAAACAGCGAATTATTCTATCAAAATATTTGCTGGGTCAAAAATGTATTTATTTAAAGCTCTCTATCTATGACTATTTCGGAGACCTTGACAAAACTGAAAACAATCTGGTCCATACAATAGTGTTTCTTAACTGTTTCTGATTTGATGCATTTATAGAAGCTGAGGAAATTACAATTGTTAGAAGGGTAGGCCACAACTACAAGACTACATACACTACATACAAACCTCTTATCTTACGTACTGTGACCATTAGTTGTGAAAAAAGATTTTAAACTATCAATTCTAACCACACCTAGAGAACACCTTTTAAACTTGCTACGGCCTCTATTCATGTTCTTACTTTTCCAAATTGCAACAGAATTTTATTAGGAATGCCTACTTCTCTCCCCCCAAAGAAAGGGCACTAAACACTAAATAAACCCCTTTAGCAAAAAATTTGCCAAGAAATTTTGTTGAAGTACCGAAAAAGAGGAACTAAGATGAAAATTAGGCTTTACTATTGCTCCTGATTTGATTACACCAGAGTAACCAACTCTTCTTGTTAAGTACCATGGAGTCGGTTCCGACTCATAGTGACCCTGAACAGGGTTTCCGAGGCTGCAAATCTTCACGGGAGCAGAAAGTCGTTATCTTTCTCCCGCGGAACAGCTGGCAGTAAAAAAAAAAACCAAACAAACCCCGATCCTTACAATTTTAAGTATTTCATTCGTGAGATGCAGAAATACATGTTCATTGTCATCTAGCTGGTTGCAATTCATAGAGACCCTGTACAGGGGTTTCCGAGGAGAGGTTTGTGGGTTCGAACCGCCGACCTTTAAGTTAGTAGTCCAGTGCTTACCTTACAAAGCGATACCAGACTCCCAGAAATATACATATATAAGCACACTCACATCCATTTAATCCCGGATAGATTTTGCCACTGAAAAACTTCCCTACATTTTGTACATACTATCCACTAACAACTGTTTGGACTCGTGGATGAGCACTGGACCGCGAATCACAAAATCAGATCAAATCCAACAAATGCTTCCTTGGAAACCCTATACTGGGGGTCGCTATTAGTGGGAACCGACTAAATGGCACTGAACTGTTTGAACACTGAAATAATCACTTGTGTTTCAGCCTAAAAGCTGATGACTTGTTTCAGTGTATTCAACTGACAAGATCCACAATCAGCTTCAAAAAACTTGTGGGCTTAAACAAAAGATCAGCCCAACATCCATTTGAAATCCAAAGATTCGATAATTTCAAACAAATCAAATCGGTTCCTAGTTAAGTTCATTCAAGTCCTAGGAACTACAGGAAGCTTCCTTTAAATTTTTGTTAAAAAAAAAAATCTCACCTAAAAAGAGTGCTGTGAAATTTGAATATACTTCACATGCTATTCAGATATTGGGAAACTCTACCAGTAGAAGAGAACGTTAACAGCAAATTGTTAAAACCGGAACAAAACAAAAAACCCAACCCCAAACGCCCTTATTCCTGTAACAGCCTCAAGCATCCCATTGTATTTTTCAACTACCATTCTACAAATTTCCTTCGGCCCCCAAACTAGACACAAACGGTGGTTCTTGTCTCCACAAAATGGTTCCCAAACGTCACACTCGCACACCCACGGCCAAAAAGCACACTGCGCCGCACGTTCCGCCCAGCAATTCTCGGTCTTGCACTTCCTCAGCCCCCACCCCAACTCGTCCATATCAGAACGCCTCTAAACAAAGCCAAGCGCGGCGCCACACGCTGATGCCCGCCAATTGTCCTCCGATGGGAGTAACAGCAACTCCGTAAAATAAAGCCCGAACCACTGGTGACCTCTTGTATTTCAATACTGATAACGCCTGTTTGCAGGAAAGGCCTTTCGGTATCAAAGCAGAGCGCTAAATCCTACCGAGGTCGAACACAAAGCACGAGGGCAGCCCCTCCCCCCCAACGGGACCGCAGATCTCTCCCGCCCTCGGTAACTCCCTTAATCTGTACTTTGCGGGGCGGCGAAGACAATTTCGTTACCCTAAAGAGTGGACTTAAAGAGTCCAAAGCACATCGCCTTCTCAACCACACCGGGCGCCCTGGGCGCGCGGGCGCATTTACTAGGCCGCGCCGAGCCGGCCCACGTTGACGCGCTGCTCCTCCGCCATTTTGTGCCGCTGGCAGCGCGCCCAAGCCGCCAGCCCAAGATGGCTGCGGCAAGCCTTCGCAGGACGCAGGAGAGCAACGGCGGCATCAGATAGCGCTCCCCTCCCCCAACGCTGAGGGGGCGCCGCGGCCATCTTTAGTCCTACTCCCCTCCCCCCAGTAACGGAATAAACGGCCGTGGGCCCACGGTCAGTCAGTCGGTGACCTCCTTCGCAACTAAAAACGCCATCTACATGGGATTTTAAAAAACAAAACAAAATCCTCTCACTCATCCTTCTTGGCCTCAGATTTCGGAGCCTAAATCCCATGCTTCCCAGCCCGAAGCCAATGGGCCTCCAAAGCGATGCAAAAAACTGAACACTCGGCCGCCCCCTGCACCACCTCTACATACCCGCTCGCCGTAGTTCTGCTCGCCGCTATCGCTCATGACTCCTGGCTGCAGTCGCCGCTCGATGCGCTTCAATCGAAGCTGTCAACCTCTTGGGCCTTCTTTACCAAGGCTCCCTGGCAGCCTCGCTGAACGCACTGCTTTCAGAGCCGCTGAAACACGAAACGCTCCACGCCGCCTCCGCACAGGTTCTAACGCCACCGGACGTGACGCGACAGTCTTTAAGGCCGCACCTCCCCCGCCAGAACGCGCGCTTTCTTGGTCCCGCCCCACTCCTCGCAATGCTTTTCCTAGCTCGCTGTGGCATTGGCCGAACCGGACATGACGTAAACCCCGCCTTAGTAAGGCCCCGCCCCCGCATCCCTGGGCCTCTTTGAGGCGGGAAAATGAGCGGGTCTCTCGGCCTGTCCGGTGGTCGGCAAGGGGCGTGGTGATGTCATTGGGCGTGTCTGAATCCTTCTGGAACTTTCCAGGGCAACCGTCGCTGGTGGGGGAAAGAAAAGATGCCCACTCCATGTTCCCATTCCTTTAATCCTTTTTTCTGTTTAGTTTCTGCTTCTTGTGCTTTTCTTTAGGGCAGAATTCTTACTTTCCTTTGCATTTATTTAGCGTCAGCTGTGGTTCTTCCTGAACAAACCTTTATTTGAGCATAGGTGAAAAGCCCACACGTTACGTTTTGTTAGACAAGATTCAGCCTCGGAAACCCTATACTGGGTCGCTATGAGTCGGAACCGAATACACAGCACATATCAAGGACAACAGGAATCAAGACACTATCTCTAAAGTTTATGAGCTCATTATGGGGAACTGTTAAACATTTAATTCAAATTATAATTTTAAGTGATAGTCTGTATAACTACAGTGTTGTCTCTCTCTCTCTCTCTCTCTCTCTCTCTCTCTCTCTCACACACACACACACACACACACAACTTCTATTATCACCTAATAGCATGGTAAAGCAGAAAGAACTCCAACTCAGAAGTCATAAAACCTTAATCTTCTGCAGCTCTGTTTCTTTTTCTGGAAAAAGGGTGATACCTGGCTGGTTGAAATGTGTGGTTAGTGTGACCGCTTGTCTAGTAGTTGTAAAGGTTGAACCCACCAGCCCCATCTAGGAAACTTTATCCAGCGTTGCTGTGAGTCAGAAGCGACTCAATGGCATTTAACAGCAAGTTTACAGAATGCAGACAAGCACATTTAATAAACCAATCCAAGTTGCCAGCTGCCGTTTAAGTAGATTTTAAATTTCCCTTCTGGGCTTCTTAGAAATAAATAACTTTGAGGGAATGACTGAGTCACAGGACTTGGTTGCTTAAGGTCAATTGGCATAACAATACATAAAAAGAATTTTCTACTCTGCTAGCGTAGTGGTTACGAATCCAGGCTGTGAACTGCAAGGCCAGCAGTTCGAAACTACCAGCTGCTCTGCCGGAGAAAGATGAGGCTTTCTGCTCCCGTAAAGACTAACAGCCTTGGAAACCCTGTACAGAACCGACTCCACAGCACATAACAACAACAACAACAACATACAATAAAACATCCAAAATTATCACTTCCCTATTATCCCTCACCCTTCACCTTCAGTCCTCAAAACATCTCTCCTGGAAATATCTTCTCCTGTCCACACCAGCCTGGTGTGACTCTGTAGGATAATGAACTGGACTTAAAGGTTAGTTTGTGCCACAAGGTCAGCAGTTTAAACTCACTATACAGGCTTGCTATAATTCGGAACCATTTTGTTGTTGTTGTTAAGTGTCGTCGAGTCAGTTCCGACCCATAATGACCCTGAACAGGGTTTCCGAGGCTGTAAATCTTTACGGGAGCAGAAAGCCTCATCTTTCTCCCACAGAACAGCTGGTAGTTTTGAACTGCTGACCTTGCAGTTCGCAGCCTAATTCGTAACCACTACGCTACCAGAGCTCCTTCATGGTACTTAACAACAACGTCCACACCAGCTACCGCTGGTTTCTCAGTTTTTCATACTGTGGTGGTTTGCGTGTTGCTATGATTAGGGAAGCGATGTAATTTTAATTGCCAGCAGGGTCACCAATGGTGGACATGTTTCAGCTGAGCTGACAGACTAGGAAGTAGATGTCGACTACTTCTGAATGTTTAGCCACTGAAAACCTTATGAATAGGAACAGAACATTGTCAGACATGGTACCAGAAAATGTAAACATTATAAATAGCACCACAATATTTTCAGATATACTGCTGGAAGAGAAAAACATTATGAATTAACACCAGAGTATTGTCACATATAGTACTCAAAATACAACTGAGGAAGAGTAGCTTTCTCAAAGTAAAGTTGACCTGATGATACAAATGGAGTAAAGCTTTTGGGGCCTACATTTGCTGGGGGCACAACTCAAAATGAGGATAAATAACTGCAAGCATCCATTAATGATCAGAACATGAAATGTCTGAAGTCAGTTTTGAGGTTGGCGCAGGACAGAGCAGTGTTTCATTCTGTTGTGTATAGGATCGCTATGAGTCAGAACCAACTCAATGGCACCTAATAACAACATCCACACTAGCTGCTCCTTAGAAACGCTATACAGGGTCACTGTAGTCGAACTGACTGGACAGCAGTTGACAACAATAGCATCCACTCCTTATCTAATTAACACTTTTCATCAACTCTACCTCCTAAATATTTTTGAAATATGTCTTCCTCTCCATCACCACACAGAGCAGCTATTAGGGCCTTAATTCATTAATCTGGAGAATTGTAAAGTATCTCATAAACTAATTTAGTGTTTGAGTTTTTAATGTTGTTTTTATAACTTTTAGTACTTTATCTCAATTTCTAAAGAGACATAGGATTATATACAAATATTCAAACCATTTGGAGCTGGAGTTATAGCTCACAAAAATTATAATGGAATAGGGTTCATCTGAGAAAACAGCTCTAGTACACTTTTCCCTAATCATGGTGTTTGGAATAGATAGACAATGTGAAAAATGTAATTAACATCACTGATCAATGTATGTGGAAATTGTCAAATGAAAAGCTAACTTGTTGTGTAAACTTTCACCAAAACACAATAAAATATTGTTAAAAAATCAAAACACCACCAACAGAAGCTTTCCCCACATTTTATTATTGTGTCTCTTTACAGAGTCTTGGAGTCCTGGTGTGGCGCTGTAGGACTGGACTGTAGGACTGTAGCAATAGACTGCTAACCACAAGGTGGGTGGTTCAAACTCACCAGTTACTCCTGTGAAACCCTATAAAGAGTGGGTATGAGTTGGAACCTACTGGACAGCATTTAACAACAACAGAGTCTTAGGCCCTTTTTCCTTGCACCTCTTTGTTGGTGTCCAATTTCTGCCTTGGAATACATTATATCATTCTTTCATTTCTTTACTCCTTTATTCATTCAGCAAGCTGGAAAGGAATCAAAGAGCAGATCACATTGGAAACCAGAGATCAGTTTCTGGACTTTCTCAGTGGTTCAACCAAGAACTCCAGAAGAGAGATGGAGTAAACAAGTGCCTGACCCTGAACTAAAGCAGTGGTAACAGAGTTCTTGCTGTTGTTAAATGCCGTTGAGTCCGCTCCAACCCACAGCTACCCTGTGTAAGATTTCCGAGGAGCAGCTGGTGAGCTCGAACCACCAACATTGCAGTTCAAAATGACTTTGCAATATAGCACATTAACCCACGGCGCCACACCAGGACTCCTGATAATGGGGTGGGTGGTAGTGATTATGTGCAGTGGAGTTCGTTCCCACTCATGTTGTTAGGTGCCATCGAGTAGCTCCAACTCATAGTGACACTGCGTAACAGAACGATACACTGCCTGGTCATGCACCAAACTCACAGTTGTTGCTAAGCTTGAGCCCACTGATGGCACTTTGCCAATCCATCTTGTTGGGGGTCTTCCTCTTTTTCTCTGACCCTCCACTTTACCAAACATGATATCCTTCTCCAGTGACTGGTCCCTCCTATATGTCCAAAGTATGGGAGACAAAATCTGGTCATCTTGGCCTCCAAGAAGCACTCTGGCTGTGCTTCTTCCAACACAGATCTGTTTGTTCTTTTGGTAGTCCATAGTACTTTCAATATTCTCCTCCAACACCATAACTCAAATACATCAATTCTTCTATGGTCTTCTGTATTCATTGTCCAACTTTCGCATGCATATGAGGTTATTGAAAATACCATGGCTTGTGTCAGGCACACCTTAGTCCTCCAACTAACATCTTTGCTCTTCAACACTTTAAAAAGGTCTTATACAGCAGATTTGCCTAATGCAATATGTCATTTGATTTCTTGACTGCTGCGTCCATGAGTGTTGATGGTTGATTCAAGAAGAATGACGTCTTTGACACCTTCAGTCTTTTCTCCATTGATAAGAATGTTGTTTATTGGTCCAGTGGTGAGGATTTTTTTGTTTTCTTTACCTTGAGATCCAATCCATATCTAAGGCTGTGGTGTTTGATCTTCAGTAGTAAATATTTTAAGTCCTCTTCACTTTCAGCAAGCAAGGTTGTATCATTTGTAATCCTGATGCCACATTTTTCTTCATATAACCCAGCTTCTCGGATGATTTGCTCAGCATACAGGTTGAATAAGTTTTGTGGAAGAATACAACCCTGTCGCACACCTTTCCTAATTTTAAATCATTCAGTGTTCCCATGTTCTGTTCGAAAAAACTGCCTCTTGGTCCAGGTACAGATTCCTCATTAGTACAATTAAATGTTTGGGAATACTCATACTTCGCAATGTTGTCCATAGCTTGTCATCCACACAATCAAAAGCCTTTAGGTAGTCAAAGCACAAGTAAACATCTTTTGGTATTCTCTGCTTTCTGCTGAGATCCATCTGATGTCAGCCATGATAACCCTCATTCCACGTCCTCTTCTGAATCTGGCTTGAACCTTTGGAAGTTTTCTATCAATGTATGGTTGTAGCCGTTTTTGGATTACCTTTAGTAAAACTTGACTGGCATGGGATATCAATGATATTGTCCAATGATATTTGCATTCAGTTGGGTAGTTTCTTTGGAATGGGCACAAATATGGATCTTTTCCAATCAGCTGGATAGGTAGTTGTTTTCCAAATTTCTTGGCATAGATGAGTGAGTGCCTCTAGTGTCTCCTCACTTTCTTGAAAGATTTTTATTTGTATTCCATCAATTCCTGGTGCCTTGTTCTTTGCCAATTCCTTCAATGAACCTTGGACTTCTTCCTTCAGGATCTTGGCTCTTGATCATACGCTATCTCTTGAAATGGTTGAACATTGACCATTTCCTTTTGGTACAGTGACTCTGTGTATTCTTTCCATCTTC